ACTCTGACAAGAAAGGGCTTATTTGTGTTAGGGGTCACAGCTGTCATCTCGGGAAGCTAAAGCAGGAACCTGGGGGCAGAAACTGAAACAGGGATCACAGAAGAAGGCTGCCCACTGGCTTACTTTCCAGGGCTTGCACAGCCTGCTTTCTTCACAACCCAGGACCACCTGCCACCTGCCCAGGGTGGCACCAACCACAGTAGGATTGACCCTCCCACGCCAATCATTCATCAAGAAAATGCCCCCAAAGGCCAATCTGATGGAGACCAATTCCCACCAGAGGTTCCCTCTCCTGAGGGGACTTATTTGTGTCAAGTTGGCAAAAACTCACCAGCACAATTGAGTCCTTGTCAAGTTGACACACAAACATACCACTGTTAAACTATAACCTTTCTTTTCTCGATGATCCCTAAGATCTCACCATGGTGATAAAGGACTAAACTTCTGAAACTGTGAGCCAGCCCCAGTTAAATGGCTTCCTTGGTAAGAGTGGATGTTGTCATGGAGTCTCTTCACAGCAACAGAAACCCTACAACACCCACAAATGTTTTCCTCCTTTTGCTTTCTTTTTCTTTTTTCTTTTTTTTTTTTTCCTGAGACAGGGTTTCTCTGTGTAGCTTTGGAGCCTGTCCTGGAACTTGTTCTGTAGCCCAGGCTGGTCTCGAAATCACAGAGATCCGACTGCCTCTGCCTCCTGAGTGCTGAGATCAAAGGTGTGCGTCACCACGGCCGACCTGCTTTTACCCTCTTGCCGATACAGATTGAGGAGATGACAGCCATCTCCAGCTGGCCCAGTGGAAAGTGGGTGCTGGTTGTTTGTGGAGAGATTGGACTCAGAGGAGGAGTCCCAGCTCTGAGGATAACAATCTGCTCAGAGCCAAGCCAAGGAGCATGGCCATGCTGTGCACACACAGATGTCCACCCTGGATAACTAGAGGCAGTGAGGGGTGTGCCAGAGAGTGCTCTGAAGAGGGCCATGGCTTTGTTGAGGCTGAGGGTTGGTTGCTTGTGGGTGGTTTGTCCTTCTTTGGTCAGTTGCCACAGTAGAGAGGAATCCTCTGTCAGAACGAAAGATGAGAAAGAGGCCTCGGTGAAGCAAGCACCGTGGGAAGGTGGACATCTCGGTGGCTGTCATGAGGCCCATTTCCTCAATGGCATTTCCTTTATAGGAAAGAAGTTAACGCAAGCCATGGGACATACATTGTCCTTCCAAAAAGATCAGTTGTGCTGGTGAGTTTTTGCCAACTTGACACAAATAAGTCCCCTCAGGAGAGGGAACCTCTGGTGGGAATTGGTCTCCATCAGATTGGCCTTTGGGGGCATTTTCTTGATGAATGATTGGCGTGGGAGGGTCAATCCTGCTGTGGTTGGTGCCACCCTGGGCAGGTGGCAGGTGGTCCTGGGTTGTGAAGAAAGCAGGCTGTGCAAGCCCTGGAAAGTAAGCCAGTGGGCAGCCTTCTTCTGTGATCCCTGTTTCAGTTTCTGCCCCCAGGTTCCTGCTTTAGCTTCCCGAGATGACATCTGTGACCCCTAACACAAATAAGCCCTTTCTTGTCAGAGTCGCTTTTGGTCAAAGTGTTTCATCACAAGAGAGAAGCAAACCAATAAACCAGCTCCCACAAATTATCCTCTGACCTCCATGTGCATGCTAAGGTATGTGCATGGGTAAACACACATACACATACACACACACCCTAAATAAATAAAAGTTTTAAGAATAACATCCATCTGATTACATATGGAAACATACTTAAAAATCTAAGTCAGGCATGTAATTCATAATTCATGTCTATAATAATCCCAGCATTCAGGAGGTTGAGGCAGGAGGATTGTAACAAGCTGAAGGCCAGCCTTGGTTACATAAACAAACAAAAATTCCATAGGTACCCTCCTACCCAAATAACCTCTACTGATAATTTCAAAATAAAAGTCACAAGAGCATAGTTTTTAAAAATCCAACAGGCCGGGCGATGGTGGCACACACCTTTAATCCTAGAACTCAGGAAGCAGAGCCAGGCAGATCTCTGTGAGTTCAGGCCAGCCTGGTCTACAGAGCGAGATACAGGACAGGCACCAAGAGAAACCCTGTCTTGAAAAAAAAAACAAAAACAAACAAAACAAAACAAAAAGTCCAACAGGAAAAGTGTAAAATAGAAAGTAAAAGTCTCCCCTTACTTTTTTCCCCATGTGGTAATAACTGTACAAAAACAGTATGTATAATATTACAGTGTGTGTCTGTGTGCGCTGGGGGTGGATACTGGGAAGGGATGAGAATCTGCACAGTGTAGGAAGAATGCCTTTTGAGATCATCAAAGTCCAGGAAAGGCTTTCTAATTTGCATGTGCGCAGGTTTGCCTCATTCTCTTGATGGCTACACAGACCCTATTCACAAATGTGCCGTGTTTCATTTAAACAATCCCCTTGCTGCTGAAACTTAGGTGGTTTCCAGTTTTGTTGCCACTACAGCGAAGCTATAACGAGCATCCCTATTGGTTCGTTTTGGCCACATCTGCAAGCTCGGAGCTAAGCAGTTACTTGCTGGAAGGGCATCTGTATTTAATTATACTACCAAACTCTCCTACAGAGCCCTCCATGTGTACCTTCCAACGTTTATGTATGAAAGTGACTCTTCCTGTACGCCTTGCTGACACTGAGTATTATCAACATGTTTGTTTCTAACTACTTGGTACATTTTCAAAGGCACAAGCTTCATTGTGAATGAGGACTCATA